TTTTATTGGACTTATCTCTATCAATAGCGCATTGCTGTTTCTCAATTAATTCCAACTCAGATTCGCTCAAATCAGGATCACTTAAATCACTATACGACGATAAATTCAAATCGTTTATAAAATCTAAAGAATTTTTCACATTACATGTTTTATTGATTGTTTTATCGACTAGACTCAGTTTTGTTAGGTTCATGTAGCCAACTGGAGCTTATTGGATCATTGGAGTGTATCACTGTTTCTGATTCATCACTACAAAAAATAAAAATGAAACAATTAAATAACTAGTTGTAGGTGGCATTTTGCCTTAAAGTAAGATGCATAAACTTCGCGACATGTGTAAATAATCGATTTAATCAATAAGAAATCAATATATTAATTTATGAGTGATTTATAAGTATAGGTGTGTTGCTGTATGGTACAACAAAATGTTATAAATTATTCAATTTTGTACAAATATTTTTATTACACATTATTAATAACAAATATGCATCTAATTAAATAATTAATTTTTATAATTAAACGAATATTTTGGTACGTTCATTAAGATTAGGCACACTATCATCATATCTTTGATTTATTAAATCATGGGAAAAAAACTAACAAGTTAATTACAATCAACAAGAAGGTAAGAATCAACTAATAATACAGATTATTAAAAACTAAGAGATTACTTTAGTAAAAGTTGGAAAATGCCAGATTGAGGCCAATTCTCGGATGAAATAAATATGATGGTATTGCTATGTTACTGGCATGATTCTACTTGCATCAATATATATCAGAATCAATTCCACAAAACAGTATTTTGATTTAAAAAAAAAAATTAAATATGATTACTTTATGTCAAAACAAATTAGCTCTCATAGCCCAAACAACAAACAACAAATGACGGGACAACTATCTATACATTATTACTAGCAGTTCAAGCTCTTCCGATCTGACCGATCTTTGTCAAAAAGTAATCAGCACGTTTTTCAAATGATATCTTCGAATAATTTTAAATTTCAAATCGATTCAAGATTTTTGACTAAAAAGTGGACAGAAGATTTTGTACTTTTCTGCAAAAAAAAAATGGCTTGACCGACCGATTGTCCCGCAAACCTGATAAATGCGAGTCATTGCCGAGTTATGTCGAATGGCTTTTAAATTTGATTGACCATTTTTGAGAAAATTTCGTCGAAAGGTAAAAATCGACTCATATACATACATACATACACACACACATACTTTTTCCAATTTAGGTCTCAAATGATTGTTGAAAAGTAATGTTGAATGTAATAATGATTAAATTACATTAATTCAATGTTTATAAATAATAAATTTTAAAGGCATAAATTATATGGCTCCATAAGGTTTTCATAATAATATATAAAAGAAAAATGACTAGAAACATCTGCATGAAGAATTTAAAAGTAATCTTTTGTGTAATAATAATTTAAATTACATTAATTCAATGTTTTTCAATAATAAATTTTAACATTAAAAAGCATAAATTACATGGCTCAATAAAATTTTCATAATAGAATGTTCAAATACTTGTACAAGTACAAAGCCATTACAATAATTTAAAGATTAAAAAAAACTGATTACTATTGAAAATGTCAAACATTCAATATGTTTTAGGACAGTTGTTAAATACATAAAATGTGTTAACTTCTATATATGTAATACTTATGTAATAAAAAATAAAAAAAAAAATATCTATAGTATATAATACAGAAATTGTTATTCAACAAGAAGTAAGTGCCATCAATTAATAAGCTAAGGCACAAAAACAAATTCAATTCCATCTTATTTCAATACTATTCAGCTGAGCAATTACACTGTTGCCTGTATGCTACCCTTTCTTGATAGCAAATTATAATTATATTAATATTTTTAATAATATTGTTTTTCAAACATTAATCTACCAAATTTGCATGGAGACTATTAAATATAAGTAATATCTTACATGTTTATCCGCCGTTTGAAATAACGGGCAATCAAGTTGAAAAGTTTCAAATTCTCCACCTTCTCCACAAACATTCAATCCTATCTTTCAGACGCTAAACTAAGATGCTGTTGCATCTCGATCAAAGATCGGCCAAGATGTCGAGCTGGATCAAGACCCAAAGCAGCTACCTATAAAAATAGATTACAAATATGACTCAAATCCCTCAAAATGTATTTAATCAATTATTACTAACTTAATAATAACAGCTTTGACATCGCAATCAATCCATCTCTTGAAGCAATTCATGCTGATCTCTTCTCCACAGGTAACACAATGAGACTAGATTCAAACGACTACAACTATAAGAAAATTTGAGTATATAAAAAATATTAGCATGTTAATATTCTTCTTGTGCAAGATAAAAATAATTTAATATTGATTAATCATAATATAAAAAATAAATATATTTGAACTTACACATTTTCAACACGCACCCTTTGATAGTCTGACAATATTGCACCAACAGCTACAGCTTCAAATTCTATTTGTTCCTGAAAACAAAATTGAGTATTTGATTTTGTAGATATTTTTATAAATTTATATAACAAAGGTTATTGGTTCCGAAAATAAAAAATAATAATATTTCACATAGAAAATTCCAAGTTGCATTTTGCTCTAATTTGCATAAGCTTCCCGATATGTATATGTAAACTAGCTGTAAGTGGAATTCTGTCTTGAGGCAATTATGGCATCGTGCCTTAAGGCAAATTGCTGGAACTTCCCGTACCGTAACAAAATGTTCGAGGAATACTGAATATTTTCAAATAGATTATTATAAATATTGTAACATTGTCTAATATTTATAAGAATTATATAAACTGAATTGCAGAGTTGAACTATTAAAGTATATTAGAATTAAAAATAAAATCTGAATTTTCGATATACAAAAAACTAAAAAAAAAAAGAAGAAAAAAATGGAACAAAATTTTTTTTCCAAAATCAATTATTTTGTTAAGACAAGCAGAAAGTTCTTTGAATCATTTGAATCGGACGCTTAGTTCTCTCAAAAACTGCCATTTTTTACATAAATAGCTCCGTATCTTCAAAATGGCTGGGCCTGCCTTTGCCAAAAACTAATAAACACTTCTCCCAATCATTACTAATTGAATGTTTTTTAGATCATTCAAATCGGATACTCCGTTCTCTCAAAAATGGATTTGTATTTTCTGCACTCTTTGCTCCGTATCTCCGAAACGGCTGGACCTGCCTTTGCCAAAAACTAATCAGCTCTTTTCCTTATCAATAGGAATCGAATGTTTTTTGAACTATTCAAATCGGTTGATCCGTGCGCCCTAAAACGTGACTGGAAATTTGTATCCATACATACATACATACACACACACACACACATCCATTTTTCTGAGGTATGCCAAAACGTTCAGAAACCTTCAAAACGTCGAGAATGTAAAAATTTTCAATTCCGATTTTCGGCCCATTACAATAACTTACCCTATGGGAAGTTAATAATCAACTTAATCAATAAGAATTGAGATTTAACAACATTTAACATTGTGATGATAAAATATTCCGCTGTTTATTTTATTCATTTTATTGAACAAACTTATATTTGAAATTTCAATCTAATAATAATTTTAATAATAAAATAAAATAAAACAAAAGAACTATCTTCATAGATTCTTAGTATTTCACTTGGCTACTAAAAGCTCAGAAACACAGCACAAAATTTGTAATTATTTGCTTAATTTAATTTAATAAAATTGTAGATTTAAACCACTTTAAGCCTATAATATTTCGGATGATAGTTTACAGTTAGATCAAGTAGGTACACCCTACTATATGTTAGTTTTGAGACCATCTTTATTGTGTCAATATACAAGTATTTACAGACTTTAAGCTGGGTATCTCCAATTCCGAAGTGAACTTATATAATGACTGAATATCTCTTATTTGTGAAGTCAATAATTAACTAATAATAAAATATTTTCCTGTGTTTCCTTCTCTACTCTACAAAATAGTATGAGAGTCTACTCTTATCATACCTTAACACTGCTTAAGAGTTGATACAAGTCTTCAACTTCATCATTATCAGTAGGTTCGTAAAATTTTCCACGTTGCTTTGATAATCCATCAGTTAGCTTCCGGAACAGAGGCAATTCCATAGCCTGGGCAATGTAAGGTACACCAGTATGCCCCACAGTTTGGTACATGAAGCTATCCAGCTCATCTGTGAGAGAAAAATGAATATGTTGAAATTTGATACTTAAAATTTAAGGTATTTATATTACAACCTCTCCATAAAATTTATTCAAAACTTGATGGTGTAATACCATAGTTTAACATATGTTACCTTCTTACATGGACTAAGTCGATTCAAATGCAATATGCATTTTCAAAATGTTTTACATATAAATTCTTGGGCTGATAAAAATTAAACATATTGAATAAAAATATATATCTTCTATTAAATTTTGGTATATATATTATGACGCAAAAAAATGAGTATGTATAAGTGATTTTGATTAAATTAAATGTATTTGAACTCCTGTTTATAAATAAATGATATGCATTGAAAACACTTTATAATAAATTTATAAAAAATTAGAATATTAAATTATTAAACACCTATCAATACTATGTTCATACTATGTTAATATTATAAAATATTTTAAACATTGATAATTTTATTAATAAATTTTGTCCTTAACTATGACATATACCAAAGAAAACATTTTATATTATGTTAATTCCAAAATATTCAAAATACAAAATGTGTAAATCTGCATTAGTGAGTTAAGATGCAGCCAATCGACAAATAACTTCTAGTAAAATTTTACATAACATTCCTTACCTATCATCAATATAAAATACTTTTTAGTTACATTTATAATTAATTAATCTTGTTTATTTATTTATAATTTTCTTAATTTTTTTTTTCTATCTACAATTCATTATAAATAAATCATGGATAGGCTATATTATTATTATTACTACATCATATTGTAGCAACTGTCTCACGTCATCAGCCTGCCTTTGAGCAGAGTACCATTTATTGTTATTTATAAATTATTATTTATTAAATGATTGCTGAATTATGGTAGGATTATTATATATTTTCTCATATAGAACTATCAATATTAATCCTGTACTAATTACAACCATTTTGACCACTTATTGTTAGTCATCTACACTACTTGTTTTTAAAAAATAAGTTTTAAAAGTATAAAACTAAAGTATAAAATTTTAAAAGTATAAAACAAAAAGTATAAAACTAATAAAAGCTATGAAAGATTAGGATTGAAATTAAAGATATAATAGATAGTATGCAATAAATTAATGAAAATTAAAATAGATTATGTTTATTTATTTATTCATAAGCAAGCCGTAATCAATATTAATAAAAATTATTTCAGGCTCTTGTCAAGATTTGATTGACTAGATTTCCAAAATAAATTTTACCTTTTTCTTTCGGTTCCAAATTAGCTAAAGCAACTATCTCGTGTCCTGATGCAATGCACTGCATCATATTATAGCAACTGTCCTTGCCACCACTAATCAACGCTACCACTTTCATTTTGATACTGTTTTCAAGCTGAAATTAAAGAAACTTTCTCTTAATATAATTTGATATGGCCGTCAGTGTAAAATTGTAAATATTATTTTACATAACGGTTATAATTAACTGTTGTTAATACTGCTAACATCAATATCTTTCAGTTATTCATTGTTATCTCATCATTTGTCGATTTTAACAGTGATATTCTTTGAATTAAATTCTCATTGACTCATTACAACAAATTTAATCAACAAGAGTTATTCTAAGTATGCAATAATTTATACTCATAAAACGTTATTCAATCTATTTATTATGTTTGTGTAATGTATATTAAATTGTATAAATATGAAAACCTCTTACCTTGATGGCTTATTCAATTACTTTATATGCTATTTGTGTCAAAATTTAAATTAAAACACCATTTAAAATACAATCTTTGTCAGTACCAAACTCAGTAGATTTCTGTTATTCATTGTGTTCTCATTATTTATCAATTTAGGTGTGATATTACTTTGAATTAAATTCTCTTTGGCTCATTACAACAAATTTAATCAGTAAAAGTTATTCTAAGTATGCAATTAAATATAAACTTATAAAACAAAGGTATTTGATCTATTTATGTTTTGAGTAATGAACTATATGAATTAGTACAAATTTGAAAGATCTCTTACCTTGATGGTTTGATTAGATTACTTATGCTAATTGTGGAATTTAAAACTCCTTTTAAAATACAATCTCTGTAACTCGGTAATCAGCAGTTTTTTGTTACTCATTGTGATCTCCTTTAAATTAAATTCCCTTCCACTCATAACAAAAAAACTTAATCGACAAGTGTTATTCTAAGTATGCAATACTTATAGAACAAAGGTATTCGATTTATTTATGTTTGCGTACTGAACTTACATTAATTTATACAAATTTGAAAGGTTTCTTACCTTAATTTATTTACTTTTCATGCTGCTTGTGTGAAAATTGTAATAAAAGGAATAGAATTTATTTTAAAATAATATAGTAAATGAAATCAACAATTCACAATGAGATCAAAATGAATAACAGGAAAGTGCTGGATTGTATTTTGTAATTATATTAACATATATGTTGAAATGAGTTTTTATGCAAATTCTGATACAAGGAGTACATGAAGTAACTAAATAAACCATCAAATGCTATGCATTTTTGCCTATTTGGTACAAACTGTAATAGTGTAATTTTGAAAATATAATAAATCCTTTATTATCTCTTACCTTGATGGTCTATTAGATGCTAATATGCTTATGCTAATTGTGTAATTTAAAACTCCTTTTGAAATACAATCTTTGTAACTCGGTAATCGGCAGTTTTTTGTTATTGTGATCTCCTTATTTGTGATATCATTTTAAATTAAATTCCCTTCCACTCATAACAAAAAATTCGACATTCTAAGTTATTCTAAGTATGCATACTTATAGAACAAAGGTATTTGATTTATTTATGTAGCGTACTGAACTTACATTATTTATACTGTCAAACACTATGCATTTTTGCTTATTGGGTACAAACTGTAATAGTGTAATTTTGAAAATATAATAAATCCTTTATTATCTCCTTTATCATTTCTTACCTTGATGGTCTATTAGATGCTAATATGCTTATGCTAATTGTGTAATTTAAAACTCCTTTTGAAATGCAATCTTTGTAATTCAGGAAAGAATAGTTCTCATTATGATCTCCTCAGTTGTGATATTAAATTTCCTTCCACTCATAACAAAAAAAAGTATGCAATACTTATAGAACCAAGGCATTCGATTTATTTATGTTTGCGTACTGAACTTACATTAATTTATACAAATTTGAAAAGTCTCTTAACTTAATTTATTTACTTTTCGTGCTGATTGTGTCAAAATTGTAATAAAAGGAATAGAATTTATTTTAAAATAATATGATGAATAAAATCAACAGATCACAATGAGAATAAAATGAATAACAGAAAGTTGCTGGGTTGTATTTTGTAATTATATTAACATATATTTTAAAATGAGTTTTTATGCGAATTCTGATACAAGGAGTATATTAGGTAAATAAATTAACTGTCAAACACTATGCATTTTTGCCTATTGGGTACAAACTGTAATAGTATAATTTTGAAAATATAATAAATCCTTATTATCTCTGTTATAAATGCAAAATGCAATTATTTGCAATTATTAGAACTTCAAACTAACCAACTATAGAAATAGAGTGATGTAAATATAAATATTTGTTTGTAAATCTGTTATCTACCTGTATGTTGTGCAAGTACCTGTTTGTCCGAATGAGTTCCAGAAAACAATTAGGTTAGGTTACGTTAGTATCTTCTTAAACAATTCACTACTACAGTTTTTTCGTTTATTCAGCGAATACACTAACATTTTCTACGCGAAAAAATCATCGTACTGAAATAAATGAATTGAGTTAAATATGATTTATAATTTCATAGAACTGCATGCACACAAATTTTTACGTATAGTGACATTTGACCTACAAAATTTATAAAAAGATATTTTCCTCTCTGAGTCCACCAATCAGAAAATAAACTAGCTCATATCACATGATAACAAAATGTGGGAAAACAAACGAAATTGGTCAATAATTTCAGTTTAATCATTTATCAAAAAACAAACAAATTTTTTGTTTACGTCGATCCAGAAACTGCATTTTTGACACATGACCGATTCATGGAATATACTAATGGACAGGAGCCACTAAATTCTGATACGTGACAGATGGGTTTTGACGTTTAAAAAGCACCTACGCTCTGAAGTTGGCTCCGGGATAGAGCATAACTCTTCTTTTATGTATGGCATAACCCATAGATAAAAGAAGAGTATAACCATACCTTCATTTCGTGGAATATTTAGTCCCGCGTTCTTTTCTCATTTTTGTGATGGTATAGCGTCGCGTCGGTTTCGTTTCAAGTAAGCGTTTTATTATATTTTCTGCTTTTTCTTTTCGTGTAATTAGAATTCTTTCGTTCTGTTGCTATTTCTAATTCTGTTTATAACATTTTTTTCACATATTTCGGTTCGGTTTTCGTTTTTTTGCTCTGGATCGCTTCCTTGCGTTGCTTTTTTTGCTCTATTAGTAAGCTTCTTATTATAATTCATGCTTATTTTTCATATTTCATAGTTACAATAAGTGTTTTTTAGGATTTTTTACTTAGATTGCGTAAGTTTCTCTTTAGTTTAGTTACGTGTTTTTTTAGATTTTTACTTAGCTTGCGTAAGTTTATTTTTCGTTTCATATTTTTACTATTTAGATACTTACTTTTATTTCACTTTAGGTCACATTCTATTTTATAAGCTTATTTTTAGATTTTGCTCATTTACATTAGGTTACATTCTATTTATAAGCTTATTTTTAGATTTTACTCATTATACATTTACTTTTTAGCTTCTAATTTTCTTTACGTTTTATTACCTTCATTACTTTTATTTTATATTTCACTTTATTACTTTACTTATGTAGCAACATGGACAGCGACTTTTTCTGTACCGAGTGTCAGATTCCATTCACAGCTCGTAGCTCCTTGTATCGCCACATAAGACAAAAACATGACAAAGAGCCAAGAGCTGTTTATCCCAATGCGTGTGCTTTCTGCCTTAAAACTTTTAAATTTAAATATTTATTAACTCGTCATGTGAGCCAAGTTCATAATAATATCCCTAACCCTTCACCTGCCCAATCTTCTTCGGTATCTTTTGAAGACATTACACACCTTTCCTCCTCCACTAAAACAAATATAAAGCATCCTTCTTTACCCACCTCATATACTACTACATGCTTGACATCACCTTACAATTTACTATCACCCACATCAGATCCTCTTCACAAACATCCCCACGTAAGTTATTGCCGCATCCTTGCACTTCCTCTATTAAAGTTCAAATTCACACGCCTCCCATTCCCTGTTCCCCAATCAGTACTAAGGAAAATTTTACAGGTATGTAGTGCTTTTATATATGTACATTCATTTTATTTATTATTGTGTTACATATAAATCATTTTTGTAGGTACACCATCAAGGAAATCCAGAATAAGATGTCCACTCCCTCCCTGCTCCTCTGTTTTTTCTAGGTACACAGGTTTATACGATCATATTGAGTTTTATCACAAAACTACAATTGATTATGAACAGTTTGTGTTTCAAAACATTAAAGGTTTGAAGTCTTCTCTCTCATAATTTATAACCCCAATTACACAATTACCTACATTTTTGACTTTGTAGATTTTGAATTGTGGAAAACGGACATAGAGCGGAAAGAGTTTTCGCATTATGTAAAATGCAATTCAGGATATAAATCAAAAACTGATGACAAGACAATTTATTTCGATTGCCACAGGTCATATACAAATGACCAAAAACCCACTGTACGCTTGTTTACTAAAACGAGCAACAAAACCGGATATGCTTGCCCATCAAGGATTGGTTGTACTATTAATCACAATGGAACAGTTCATGTTGAATTTTGGAAGACACATGTGGGACACAGTCAAGATATAAAATTTATTTCGTTAGATAAGAACCTGAAAGAACATATCAAGGGTAAATTTTTAATTGACTTGTATGATTATAAAACTAAATACATTTTTGTTTTATTAATAACTTCTACAAAAAATACGGTTTTTCGGTTGGTGGAAGTTATATAACAAGGTTTCTGTCCATACTTCCATTTAAATTTTAAAATTCAGTTTTCATTTATTGTTCGGTTTAACTTTGGTTTGGCTAATCATTTCTTCAAAATGCAATTTTTTTCTCTTTTTTATGTTTAATTTCAATGTTTATATTTATTCTATATTATTTATATTTATTCTATATTATTTATATTTATTCTATATTATTTATTACATGTTTCCTGTGACATGCTTTATATTGTAAATAGTATGTGTATATATTTTGAATAAAAATATTTGATGAAATAAATAGATGGTTTTAATTGTGTTCCTTATTACCTATGTTAATCATTGTTAGAAAAAGTAATCAGATCACTTAAAGATAAAAATAGGCAAAAATATCGGACTGAACTTAAGTTTATTACACTACTATACATATGCTAGCATTTAATATATATATATATATATATATATATATATATATACATGCATACATATGAGTTAAGTTCTAATAATCAGATGTTACATGCTACAAGACTCTTGTAGCTATTTTGATGTTCAGGCTGAAGTCCTAATCTTAATTCAGTGAACCCTACAATAGAATTAAAACACACTAAGCAAACAAAAACAACCTGAATAACATTTACCTGGGTAAATAAAATAACTACACTAAAACACTCTGCGAAGCCCTAATTAAAAATTTCCTAATAATTTCTAACAAAACTGTACTAGGTTTTGAATAACTATATGTTTGGTTCCCTGAAATAATATTGGTTGTGAAGAGACAATGTATGACCATGTAAATGTAAAAGAACCGCTTTCGTAAATATTATATACTTACATTTGGGATTTCTATTTAACTGTCTAAAAGGTGTCTAAATGTGAGAGGTGAGAGACAATATAACAATGGGCGTACTATTTTGACGTTTGACAGTTTTGTTTTTTTGTTTGACAGTTTTGTTTGACGCACATAGGTTTTTTGTCTTTCAATGTTGTTACACTTTTTTTATTCTCGGTTGAGCGTCGTATGTTGGTATGACAAAGAAATGTGATATTATCATAAATTAGCTTCGTGTACTAATGGACCGCCTTTGGCATTACACTATGCATTCCCATAAATGAAAAATAATATTATATAAATATTTACTTATTTTTATTATGTTATTTCACGTTTAACGACTTTCAAATTAAAAATCATTTTTTGATAACACTTTTACGAATGCATTCGTAATTTTAATTTCAATCATTATACACTTTTAAGATATTTCAAAGTTACTTCAATTACTGAACCTGTTGCATTAGTAATTTACATTTAACTAATTCAATAATTAAAATAAGCAATAAATTTCGAAAAGTAAAAAAATTGCAAAATTTATTAAAATAAAAACTTTATTTGATTGAAATACCAATTAGTATTTAACTGTTTTTAAACAGACTTTATAATTCAAAGTGTAACATATTAAATAAAATATTAAATGTGATATAACAAAATATATCCTTACAATTATTATTTACAAGTACATACTTGTAAATAAATACAATATTGTTTCAACATTTTATCTTATCTAATAAATATAATGTATGTACTTTTATCAGAATAATAATTGTTCTGATAAAAGGAAATATTTATTTAGGTAACTCTGAAAATTCTTTCAAATCAATGCATGATATTTGTTTCTATCATTATATCACAGGAATTTTATAATTTCAGTTTAATGGAATATAATTCAAAACGACTATTGATATTTATGGATAACAATTTTATTCAATTTAATTAATTCCCTTTAACAGATTTTTCTTCCGTTTCATCATTAACATCATCTAAATAACACAAGAAGTTATCATCATCAAATGTTGGAAAAAAATATTCAGGTTGATCCCAGAGCTTTTTATCTGGAATTCCAATGTGATTTTCTTGAATAATATGGTTTTGTAATTGTCCTTCATCTTCACATTTTTTCTCACATAAAATACATTCATTGGAGTATATCTTTCTTCTTATATAATTAACAACTTTTACTTTTTTATAAAAATCTAGTTCAGAAACAACATTCTCAAAGTGAAAACTATGGGCTTCAATCATATGTTCAGATAATTTGCAAAAATCCGGTGAAGTAAATTTGCAAAATAAACATAAAATATTTGGTAAAGACCCGTCCCAATCACACCATTCAGGATCGCTATCAATTTGTTCAGTGTCTGATTTGTCTACAATATCATCATTTGGAACTTCCTTTGGTTCACTTTTAGAACCTTTTTGCTTTTTGGAAATAATTATAATTTTACTAGATAAAACTTATCATATTCTTTATTTTTTGGATTGACTTGTTTATGAAATTTTTTTCTCATGTGTTCTTTTAAAGTGACACGATCTTTGAAAACTTTATCACAGTATATACAAATAAATTGTTCTATTTTCTTTTGCAATAAATTAATCATATCTTCTATGTAAACTAAATTGCTATATTTTCCCAGAAATAAATTATGCTTATCAAATAGATGCATTATAAATGATATTCGAGTGCCAGTAATAACTTCTCTGCAAAAAAGGCATTCTTTACTGAAATCTAAAGCTGTTCGCTCCATTTGATATAAATCTAGTACTTCCTGGTACTTTATTTTTTGTAGTTTGACTCTTAATTCATAATCTTTGGGAAGAACTTCGCTTAAGAGATAATATTTCTCATTCTTTGAATAAGAGCCGTCTGGTTTTTGGTCCAGAAGCATGGTTGTGCAATATTCAGACAGTTCATAACCTTTAAATTCTTTTCTCCAAAATTCAATATATGCTTTTAAATCAGGTATCAAGTGCACATCAGAGATAACTAGACGATGACTAACATAGAAATGAGTTAACATAGCAGTTTGCTCCAAGGGAAGGGTAAATATCATATCACATAAGATGCATGAGCATTTGTCATCATTGTCTAGTGTGATTGACTTTAAATATTCTGATATATTTAAAGGTCCAAATGGTTTGGTTGATTCTATATCAGAAAGTTCATTCGTATTCATGTTTGAAACATTTAAACCAGCTTAAAACATATATAATGTGTTAATTATTTTCATAGACTATAGCAATTTTGACATAAATTTATATTTGAGATAATGAATGTGTAGATCAAACATAGTCATGCTTATTAAATATTATTCAAGAAAAATCTACTTTGTTTTCCTTTTTCTTCTTTTACACAAATTTATTTTGATTCTATCTTTTCAGAACATTCACTTTTATTATTTGAAAACTGACATTTGTGCCAGACAATGTTGCCACCATATTATTATTATATTGTCTAGGGTTGCCACAAACGAAAATATCTTATTAAATGAGGCTGAGCAGTTGGCAGTTATGCACATGACGATATTTGACAGTTGACAGTTATCTTTAAATAAAAATATAATAATTTTACATATTGTATGTTTTGCAACGATAGTTTGTTTTATATAAATAGAGGGATTGAGATATAAACGCAAAAATTCTAATACTCGTAAGCTGCAATGCAAGTATAAAAAAAGGAGCAAAGTTTTAAATGCAAGTCGAAAAGTTTGTAATGTGAAAAGTTGCACTTCCATGATGATGTGAAAAACAAAATGTTGAGACTTTTGTACATTGATGGTTTATCTATTAGATTAATACATTTACTGTAAGTATTTCAATGATAACAATATTATTTTACAAAAGGTGAGTCTATCATAATTAGCTATCTATGACATTTTACTTAAAATTATAAATATACACTATATAGCCTTTTTTGCAAACTGATTTATAAAATTATTTAAAGCTGACGATAACCAAAGATAAAGAAGTATAAACGACTTTTGAAAAATTTGAACCTATATGAAAAATTTGAAGTTTTCTTAATTTTTGTTTGCGGAAGTTAGGGGCCCCCATTGTCTGGAGACTCCATTTTATTCATACGGCAGATACGATGGTAATTACTCCTTTGTTAATTTAATAAAATATTATTTATTCTATATCAGATAAACCATATTACTATTCTATAGAGATAAAAAAAGAAAGAAAGTCTGAATATTGGAAAATATATATCTTGCATACGTTTCAAGTCTCGATTTGACTAATTCAAGTGCAAATTATAGAAAATAAAAATATAACAAATACAACAAAAAATATATGAAAGTATAACAAATTTATTATTGATGTTAATGTTAATGTTAATGTTAAAAATGTTAAAAATTGATCAATTTATTGATTCATCAATTAATTGATAGGTTTGGTCTCCACAATATATTTGCTCAAAGTCAAATTATCTAATTATTGAAAAGTAAAAACTATATATGATATAATTATTATATCACAACAAATAACATATCAAACAAACAACTATCTGACTATGATCAGTTAAATCATCATTGTAGAAATTATATATGTATATATGTTGTTCTGTTGTTTTCCAAAAAAGCCACCTGGTCCTTTTTACCCCATAGGCGTGGTAAAATTAGACAGCATACAGGGTCAATGTCTCAATGTTAATTTTTAAGGGGTTTTACAAAAACATAACTACCTTATTCAACCAATACAAAATATATAATTCATGAGTACATTTTTTACAGAGGTAACACTGTAAATAACCTTGATCTGGTATTTTATCAAAAATATTTATCAGTATCAGAGTTGGAATAACTATTTTTTAATTCATCTCTTGTTAAATTAATTTTATTTAACTTAATTTTCTTTTTTATATACCGTTTTTTATTGTTTACAACTTTGCCAGGGTAAGGGTCCAGTTGGCTCTTTTTGTCACCCACATACAAGCTTTTATAAGGGTTTATATAAAACTATTATATATATATATATATATATATATATATATGTATGTATAATAAATACTAAAATAAAATAAAGTTATTAATTGAAACTAAATTAATTTCAAGTAAAAAAGGTTTAACAAGTTTTAACGTAAAGATGTGTAACAATTTATATACAAAAATGTTGTATTTTTAATTAGTTCAAATATTTAAGTAGCAATGATTTAAATTTACAAGTAATAATAGTATCTATTAATATCATTTAATATTTAATAAATTAATACCAAACAACATTTTATTAATAACCTCAGCTAATAAACCAAAATATCAAAAATTCATATTAAAAACTAAATTATACAATTTTTTATTCAAAAATTACAATGTTTCATATCCCTGTGACAAACGGAGACGATTTAAAGATTTTTTTCACTTACAACTTCCACACGCGAGTCATATAAGGTCAAATTGTAGCTCCATATAAATAAATAAATATTTCTGGATTATTATTTTCCGATTGTGAACATTCATAAATGGTTAAAATTGTGCATACTGGATTTTGTTCAATAACAAATAAATTATAGTTAATTGAAGTGAAATGTTTATAATTAATTATGTTTTGTTCATACTGGTGTGGACTGTATTAGTTGTTACAGCAACTGAATTGAACAAATATGAAGGTCAGTGAGTTCAACTCTTGCCAAAAAACAATAAATATAACCTGAAACATTATATATATATATATATATATATATAATATATTTAACAAATATTAAATATTATAGCTCTATCCATGCTTTATCCAAATTATAAGAAAATGTTTCTTTGTCAATAGCCTTGTAGATTGTATAGCAATAATAAAGAGAATATTATTTATATAGTAAAACCTGTTTGAGGCAATTTTCAGGAAACTGATAAAAACGTGTTTTAAGCGAGAAATCGTATCATCCGGATAAGGATATTTGAAAGTGCAGGAACCGGTATATTGTGGCGAATTACGCGGTAGAACCTTCGGAGCATAATCGTATTAACGGGGTTCTACTGTATTATAATTCACACATATTTATATATATATATATATATATATATACATTAATAATTTGCTTATTATCTTGGCGTCACCAGTCAAGTTCACAGCTTTAAATAGTTGGGTTTTTCTCTGAATTACGATTTGTGAAGATTCCTAGCAAGTACAATGTAAACAACAAATGTATTCATTAAATTAAAAATAAAATTAATGAGATTTTTCATAAAATAAGTTATCAAGTTGCAGATACAAAGGAAAATTTATTCAAGTTGCAGATTGCAAAACTTGATCATTCTATTGCAGATTGATAACTTTTTCATACAAATCTTCATTGCGTCAATTTTTCTGAATATTTTTTGTTTAAACAGCAATCATAGGTGCAACCCTGAGCGTAACCGGCTGATACAACATGCCCTGGTTCGATACCTGCTTCGGCCAAGCTTGATATCAGGCCGAAGCAGGGATCAGGCAAATTTCCACTTAAGTTTATAGATTTTAAACATAAAATCTCAAGTAAAAATTGCCTTCTGCTGTCATTTTTACAGAACACAGAATTCTGGTTTTTGGTAAAAAAATAGCAATCACGACTATATATGTTTTATGAGCCCACTCTTAAATCCTTAAACCACTACTTACCCCAGTGATTGATCGTTCTCTATATGATAAGATTTTTATTAGATTTTTTATCTACTACTGGAGAGATATATATTGCAACAACACCTCCTAAAGGCAATTTTTACTAGTTATCATATTTTGGATCTTAAGTGCAAACCTTAAATCACTATTGCCTGATATCAAGCCGGTCGAAGGTATCGAACCTGGAATTAGTGATTGCTAAACCTTGCTCTTAGAACAGACATAAATAAAATAGGTTTTAATCATTAATAAATTTTAATTTATTTAGGGTTGATTCACATTCCTCTGTCATTTTATCACATTTTACCATCCCTAAATTTAAAAAAATAAATGGATTTTTATCATTTTGTCATGTAGAACCTAAGTCGATGGTACATGCTTAAAATACGATCAATAAGTTTGGGACAGGTATTTTTAATTAACATTTTTATAATAAAAAAGTCAAAAATAGGATCAAATTTTTAATTAATTTAAAATATTTAACTTATGTAGAAGCGCGTGGTAAACTTTATCCATGGAGTTCCCAAAAAAAACACGTCATTAGCGCCATTTATTTTTAATTTGAATAATTTATTTATTTTTTCATTATTTTTGATTTTAATTGTGTTTATGAAATTCCAATTGAACGGTAACAGTATCTTTGATAAAAAATCTAAATTATTAAAGGATGAATTTTTTGGGTTAATAAACTAGATCCATGCAAATAAAAATTACTCAGTGCATAAGTAGACTAAGGGAACTATTCTGCCGCATAACAGAAAAATGTTATGGCAAGGCCATGTTATGCTCCAACTTCCATACATTATGCTACTGAATCATACTGAATTCTATCAAAATGATATGTATTTGCTGTGCACTCAGGCGATTTACACATAAACTGCAACGTCAGTCGTATGTTATGAACCTGAGTCAGAAAGACCCTGTTATCTAAGATCGTTTCTTTTGACATTTTTGCGGTTTCTAGTTTAGATTTCTATCTGAAAACCTTAGAAAACGCCTGACTGCACAGTAACCACATGGCCTTTTGTCAAAGTTTTGTCAAGTTCTTCATAACATAGCCTTGCCATGACATTGGTCTATTATAGGGCAGAATCGATTCATATGACATCACACTCAGTTCAGAATTTATTCACTACATAGTATTGGGACCTCATTCTATTTTAATAAAATTGTATACTATAATATTTAGTATACTATAAAATAAAATTTTCAGAACGCCAATAAAATAAGATAGATAATACTAAACTTCTAAATTTACTTCTTTACTAGTTGAGATGAAAATTTTCTATCACAGATATGAAAAAAAAAGATAAGTTGGTTGTGTCTGGATCTCCAAACAGGTTAATGATCGAAATTATAGTTTGTGTCAAAAATTCTATAATGATCAGATAAAATAGGTAATATAGGCTTTTCTGTAAATAAGAAGCTATGGGTTTATTAGCCAAGTCAGCCAAAGTCAGCAGTAGTGAAAACGGTTTTTACTTGGAAATATGGATAGCAATATATTTCCAAGTAAAATAGCCCCTGCCTACATTACTGCATCCATAAAGAATTTATCGCTATTATAGAACTGTAATACTATAGTATTTATTATAATAAAATTAATCGTGCATTTAGATAGGACAACCGTTTGGATTGT